TAAATTATGTGTAAATAAACTGATATTATGTTTTATTATTAGTGCTCTCTTCGATCTTATTTATTAGTTATTTTTAATATATTTTATCAAAATTAAAAAAACTTTAAATCTTATTAATTTTGTTTAAAAATTCAACAAATTTTTAATGTTATCTTTATTAAATATACTTCCTTTGGACTACAATATACTCCCTCCCTTAAAAAATGTAAGGTATTTTTTAAAAAGTTTGATGTTAAAAAATATAAGGCATTTTTAATTTTTAAGGTTTAATCCTTGTTTTTTTTTAAAAGTACCCTTATTAATAAATAACTTTATATTTATTGTAGGGTATTTAATAGAGATAAATATAAAATATAATGTTAGTTTAAAAGTATGTAACTACTTTATAGATTGAAAATGCCTTACATTTTTTAATTGAAGGAGTATAATATTGGTAATTTCTTTAGGATTATAAAAAAAATTTAGTTAAAACCTTAGTTTTTTTAAAAAATATATTTTCAATTGTACCCTTATTAAATATCCTATATAAATACCTTAATAATTCTAGTATATCATTTTTTTATCAAAAAGAATAATAAATAAAATAGGAGTATAGTTAAAAAAAATTATAAAAACTATCAAATGCCTTATATTTTGAATAAAACATAGCTTCTATAAGATATCGTGTATTGTGGTCCAAAGATACGTCCATTAAAAACAAAACATTCAAGTATTTAATACCTCCTCAACATTTAGTAAAAGCAAAAGGCTAAAAATAAATATAATAATCATTAAGATGTTTTGTAAATAAAATTAAAACAAATACTCTCTGTTGGTCTCTGTTGGTCATGCAAATGGGACGAGAGGCGTGCTCAACAAACTAATTAATGAGGGGTTTGTTAAGTGTTTGGGAGGGTTTATTATTAAGTTTTAGAAATATTTGCTCATATCCAAAATTAAAAGGGTTTATGTGCAATGCAATTTAGCCTCAATATTATAATTATTTTTTTTTTTAAAAAATTGGGTTGATGCTATTATGCACACACACACGCGATGGATTAAACATTACTAAACGTTATAATAGACAAGTGTTCATGCTTGGTGGTTTTTACTCGGTCCATTTAGGTTTTCTTTATTGTGATTAATTAAGTAGCTAATCTAGGAGTAGCATGTTTGAGGAAGTAATTAACCCTAATTTCCCCCTCTTTTAAGAAGAAAGGTATTGCATACCCAATACCCACTCTCTAGTCTCTATCTGTCATTAGCTGATTTATCAGTTTTTTTTAAATTTATTTTGAAATATTTGTAATGAAATTTCCAAATATTGCATATATAACTGATAGTTGAATTTGTTTGTGAAAGTAAACCCGAAAAGCACGCAACTTGATAAGGAAGAAAGGTGTTGTATTTCCCTTTCGTCTTCGTCAATACAAATTCAGCGCATGTACATGAACATGGCTTTCGTTTTCAGAGTTATTTGAAATTAGACGTTGTCCTATACATTATATAAAATTTGAAAATTATTTCGGGGATATATTAAGAGTTTTTATATTTTATATCCTTATATTAACGTTGATTCATGAGCTAATTTTCTAATTTTTAGAAGCATCTAATTCAATAGAAGTTATTTTTTATTAGCTGCCTTCCGTTTCTTCCCCCAGATTTTTCTGTCTTCAATAGTTCAATTGATTTATTATATATATATATATATATAATGTTTGGTGATAATTCAAGTGACAAGAATAAAGCAAGGTGTAGTTAGATTAATTTTAAAAGTATTTTTTTATAAGAAAAGGACATTTAAGGGAAGCTGGCAAGATAGACATCACTGTATGTTGTTCTTAGAAATTTCATGAGATCATTTGACCGCCTTATAAAGTATTGCTCTTTCATATTAGTTAATTAATTAATCGTAAAAAAATGGTTTGAATTAGTTGGGCCTATAAGAAAAATGGTAGGCTATAATGATTTTAAATTAGTTGATTTTAGGGTTATGATCCAATTTTATTTTTATTTATTTTTTTAGAAGTATTGATCACCTTATACTTTTAAGCGAAGCAATTTTACTTTTAAATTATTTTTTTGGGGAGCAAAAAACTTCTTATATTAGTCAACCGTTGATTTTACCCTTTTTTCACTGAAGTGGCATGTGCGTCCATGCACAATGACATGTAAAATTTTGACTATGTCCTTTGATGCTAAAGTCTTTTTTTAAGAATGCTAGATATCCTGAAATCTTGTTCAAAAAAATTTAATAACTATTATTAAAATATTAAGTATTTTAATATTTAATAATTTAAATATTATTATTTAAAACATTACACCACCTAATTTTATATTTTAATATTTTATAATTTTGTATTAAAAATGAAGGGAACAAATCTCTAAATTAATGAAGGAATTTTTTCTTCTCATTTTTACATTTTTTTTGTTAAGTAACTTTTTTTATAATATATTATGGAATAAGCAGTATGTTTTAAATAAATATTTTTGTTGATATATTATTGGTATTGATTTATCATATTTTTTATTTTACTCCTAATATTACAACATACAGAGAATATTAAATTTGGTAGTGCAATATTTTGAAGAAAAATTGTTAGTTGACTAAAAAATTACAAAAATGACTTTAAAATTTAAGGAATTTAACCATATAAAAATATAAATAAGTTTGGATACACACAAAAGGCGTAACGATCTGGGTACTATATTAGAGAAAAGATCGAAGATTGATATATAAAAAATAATTTATAAATTTGAATGAATATTTATAAATAATAATATTTAAATTATTGAATATGAAAATAATTTATATTTTTATATTTATTAAATTTTACTTTAATAAAATTTTAAGGTGCTCAATGCTCATATAAAAGATTTTAAGGTGCTCATACTCTTGAAAGAAGAATTTATGAACAAATTAGCATCCAAAAATATGACTATAGCCTTATCTATTATTGTGTGTGAGACCCACACATAAGTCATGTTAGCAAAAATGACAAAATTAATGACTTCCTAATAGAATGGCATTTTTGGACCTCAAAAAATACTTCAGGAAAAAAAAATTTCCTACTAAAATGCATAGAGCGTCTAGCACTTTAAAATATAAATATGGAAAAATTAAACTTTAACCCTTGATTTAATAATTAATAAAAAAACTGGAAATTTTAAAACAAACAGTTAGAAATTTTACAATTCGCAAGATTTAACCATTAATTAACCAAAACTCTATATTTAATATTTGTAAATCTTTTATCTAATTTTTTATACTATCTTAATATTTAATTGTACATTAATACACACACACACACCAAAAACCAATTCCATTCCATCGGAAAAAATACCAATTCCATCTTGATTATTCACTTTACAAATATTGAATAAATAATAATAGATAAAAAAGTAAATTGATCCTTAAATTATAAGTTTAGAAATGTAAAATTATAATTTATTTTTTATATAATATTTATTTTAATTTTTAAAAATAGTATAATATGTTTTTGTTAATAAAAATTAACTTTAATCATTAATTGATAGAAAATGAAAAAAAATTTTTAAAAACTATAGAAAATGATAAAAAATTATAGTAAATGACTAAAAAAATTACATGCAAAGATTCAAAAAAGTTACAAATTTTTTTGGTCTAACTAATGGTTTAGTTTAATTTTTGTTAATGATATGGCTAAATTGCACAATTTTAAAAAGTTGAAGGAAAAATTATAAAAAAAAGAGTTTTAGTCCTTGACACTTCTAAACTTATAATTTAAAAGTCAATTTACTCTTGTATCCCAATAATAGTCTATGTAATTTAATTTTTACTATGCCAACAAAACGATATTATATTAGGCAAAGCATTTTTCCCCCGTTCCGGTCAATGATTGGAAAATGCTATTTTTTTTAATTATAATTGCAAGACTTCTTTCAAGTTTGGCCAAGAAAATTTCTCCAACAAACGACAAAGACAAGAAGAACGGAAAACTTCTACCACTTGTATCAATAATTTATAATTATAATCTACCATTAGTTTCTCTTTCATCCTACCAAAGAATATTTCATTTGTTTTTAACTTTCTAGCCTTTCTCATTTCTTATTGAAAATATAAAATAGATTCCCCTTAATTAAGTTTGTTTAATATGTAAAAATTGAAAATCAAATACTCAATTATTTCTTTAAAGAATGGAAGTTTTTACTGCTACCGTCAGCCAAGTGTCGATTCCATTTAAGGACCAAAATTTGACAAGAACTACATTAAATATTTTTTAAAACCATAAAGCGTGAAATTACAATCAAACAGTAATATTTATTTAGATTTTGTTTACACACACATATATTAATTATAATATTAAAAACCTTTTGATATAAATTTATAGAATTTAAATATAACTAACATTACGAAACATGAGAAATAGCCCACACTTTTTGAATACTTTTTCTAATCTCATATATAAGTTACTTTTTTAAAAAAATTGATAATCCTTTTTTATATATAACTCTGCATAAAAAATGGATTATTAATTATTTTCTTTTAATTTTAATTTTTCACAATTTTCTATGAATAGGATAAGAGGCTGCATACCAGAAAATGTTTTTAAAAATGATAATTTAATAAGGATAAAATGAGAATTTTTTAAGACAATATCGATGTTTTAATTACTTTTTTAAGATTCCATTGAATTAATTAATTGTGACTTGTATGTGGGAATGGATCGAGCATATATTAGACTTGGATTATAATTTTAAGCCCCTGGCTTCAACCGTCACATCATTGACTAGTAATAAGCTAACTTACGATAATTTAAAAGTAACACTAGATAGCACTTGCCCAATTGTCATAACTCAATTGGCATCAGATGATGTCACACTAGTTAATTGGATTATACTAATGAACGCATATTTTCTCGGAAAAATCCCTCAATACTGAGATCACTGAAAAAGAACCTGTCACTGATTTGGCTGGGGCTTTCACTCCATAGGTCAATATTTTTGGAAGTGGTAATTCACAACACGATAAATTATTTTACCACTTATTATAAACCTCCTTATTTGATCCTTCCCATTGATTTATGGTGATAAAGATTTATCCTTCATGACTTTCATTTCTGAATGAACTTATCTCATCCTCTGAAGAAAATTTCTATGGTTTTAATATCAAGATGAGCACTGGAGATTAAGGTAAGTCAATGGTTTTTGGTAGACCTGAAAACTTCAAGTCAAGCTTTTATGTATTTTCTAGTTTCCCCTAGTTGATTGGTTCTCATTTCCTGGTACTTGCTTCTGATCTAACTTTAATTGTGAAAGTAAGTATCATAATTGGATAGGAGCAAGACATGGCAGTTCCTAAGAACACAAGCTTGTCCTTCCAATTTCTTAACTCACTGAAATCACAGAGTGCCTTTAAGGCGTTTGATGGGTTGTTTTTTAACCTACTATGGTTCTTCAAGTTCATAATGATGATCATGGTCATACTGTTCCTGGGGTGGCTTTTCTTAGCTGATAAAAGAGAACCCTATTATCAGTACTCCAAAGCAGAGGATGGAAAAGACAGAAAGGTTCAAGATGAAGATGAAGATGGGAAGTTTGGTTCTGCAAGAGAGGATTTGGATGCTTGCTCATACTGTGGAAAATTATGCACCATAACCAGAAGAACTTGCTCACGTTGCAAAACTACTCTGTATTGGCAAGTCTCAATTCTTTTTTATAAGCTTTTCCATCCTGATTGTTCATACTCTTTTAGTTAGATATGAGTTTCCTGGTTAATGTATGATATAAATTTAGAAATATTCAATTTACTTTGTGATTAGAGTAAAGATGACTCATTCTGGTCTGTTGAATTTATCAGCTCATGGGCATGCCAAGTGACTCATTGGAGATTTTGGCATGAATATGAATGCAATGAGATGGAGACAGAACCACAGTATGAAAGACCTGTTCATGGTGCTTCTCAGCTTTTGATCAAGCAGCTTGAAAATGTAATGTTACTGTCATATACAAGTTTATTCCATTTTTTTTTTCATATGAAAGCCCACGTTTTAACTTGCTCATATCAGATGTATAAATACTGAAAAATCTGTAGGAGCATATGAATTTTGGATTCTGTCCAAATAATTACTTGATTTTCAAAATTTGATACTAGCTTAAATTTTTAAATTCATGCGTAGAACCTCATTTTTATACCTGTTATTTCATTGGTGATGTGGCATATTAATAGGGCTACCTATATATGTCTGAACATTCATATATTAGGAGGCTTGTTGGAAAGTTTTAAAGATTAAGACTGTTATCTGGGTATGATCTAAACTTGAATTATTGATTTATGATTGAAAATTTGGGCAGGGAAGTTCTTACTCTTCTGATGAAGATGATGAGCAGATAACAGATGCGAGAGAGGCACAACATGTTGAAGCAAATGAAGAGCAGCTTAAGAAACAGCTCAAATTCAATCTTCTAACTGGAAGTTCTGAGGTATGAATATTGAGGATGGAACTTCATCTGAGAAAAAATCAATGGCCAGTTTGTGAATTGAACTTTTGTTTTGATGCAGGAAGCTATTGAGGAACCCCATGAAATAGCAGAACAAGTCAGAACACTAAAGGAAGAACTGGCAAAGATCAAGTACAAGAGTCTTTTATTATTCTTGATTTTCCTCGTTTCACTTGTTCACAAGATGTTACTTTGTTTCATCCAAAACTTTCTTTAGGAACAATTTCATGTCCATTAAAGTTGCAAAGCAATTGAAATGCTGATGTGGTTGACAGATACTCAAATTTCTTTTACAGTAGTAACTAGGTGGACTTTGTGGATTACTTGGAATATGAAGAATGCTAGTTATAAATTTTGTGCAGATTGGTTATGCTTACTGACATGAAATATTCGCTGATAATCAGAAATGAGAATATGTCACTAAAATCAGAGCGTGACAACTGGGAAACGCTAGCAAGGAGTGCTAAAGAGAAACTAGACAGCTTCATCAAAGAATCTGAGCACCAGGTAATTGCAGTAGTCATGAGAACAAGAAGCTTAATTCATGTTAATCCTTTGATTAATATAGAAATGCAGAGAAAACTATGAAGTATAAGTTGTGTAAATTCTAGGGATGTGAGAAGGGCTAATATAACACTTTGTGTTGTTTACTACTTTTATCAGATGCTCATTCTGAAGCATAAAAAGGAATTAATATCAGACTCGGAGAAGCAAGCACGTGCTTTGGTTAATAGTTTGTCTGAGAAGCTACGCTGTTTGCAGGTTATGCTGCTGCCAAATTACTTTGCACACACACACACACACAATTAGTTTCAAGTGATTCTGTATGTGGCTATCTTTAAACTCTGTGGATATACCGTGTAGATTGCAGAGGACAAGAGGGTTGCAGAAATGAAAAGGCAAGAAGAATTCATACTCATGCTAAAGGTATATGATTCCTCTAACCTATAATTGTACTTAACCACTCGGATTTGTTGACAAGAATATTGTAGAGAATCAAAGGTGAAGGTCAAACGTGTAATTTTCTGAGATTAATATGATATGTAATGCCAGTAGAAATGTTGTACAGAATGAATATTCAAAGGCTGTGAGAGAGGTACAAGAAGAGAGAGAAATGTGAGAAAGCTGAGAAAGGAGCGAGATCGGGCCACAGATTTTGCCATGAAACTGGCTGAAGAAACTGGCCAAAAACTACTCACTGCACTTGATGCTGTTGCTGCAATTGAATCTAGAATTGCTTCTCCTTCTCCTTCTCCAGAGGTATTACTTAGGGAGAATGGCAATGAGGGCCTCTAGAGAAGAAAAAATAGCAGTGAGAGCTGAACACAACTGAAAGATTATCTGTTCACAGATACAGATTCATCGATTCAATTGTGAATAAATGAGCCTTAAGTTGTGTGTTTGGCCCTCACTGATATTTTTTTCTCCTCTGGGGGCCCTCATTGCCACTCTCCCTATTATTTATAACACATATATACATGAATCTTCTATAGTGGTAGTATCATCTAGTGGGACTCTAAAGTAGCTGGCTATACCAGTGAAGAGAAAAATAGAGACAGTAATGAGACCAGTCTAGCATGTGAATCTTATACAGACCTATCGCTATATTATAAGCCCATGTTTAAAGGGAGATAAACATAAGTTTAAGCCTATCGACAACTCCACTCTAAAGCACTTTACTGTTTACTGCACAACTCTAAAAGAGAACTCATATAACTATTAACTAGAATCATTGGATAAATATTTAACACAAGTATTTGATGTGCATTAAAAAAACATGACATTGCTTCGCTAAGCTATTTGAAATTAGCTAAAGTGGTAAGGGTGAAATAGAATATGAATAAAGCTTTAGGTTTAAACTCGTATGATGATATAGTGAAAAAAAAAACAACAACAACATTTGTTTAAATTCGGAATATTGATTTTGCTTTTGCATGAAAAAATTTGTGACTAGTTTGTGTACTTTATTCTGTATTTGAAATTTCTGTTTTCTAATTATTGACTTTATTTAGGTTTCTCGAAGGAACAGTTTGGACAGAAATCCAATCTCCTTAATGAACAGGTATGTTAAATAGTATAGGTCCATAAAAAAATCAAAAGAAAAGTTTTTTTGGTTTAACATTCAAATATAAATGTAAATGATTAAGATAGTGTTTCTTACAGTAAATGAATTGTTTAGTTCACAAAAAATTTACCATTATTTATTTAATTTTTTTTTAATATAATCTCTTTGATATTTTTGCCTCATCAAAACTGTTATTCCATATTGTCTGATTTTCATGGGTATTATAATTAATTACAAATGAATTCTAAATCAGTTGTCAGCCTATAGAATAAATAAATAGTGACAAAATAAATCCAAAAAGATTAGGCTTGATAAATCTGAGCTAACACAAGCATTTTACAATGAAATGCAGGCATGTGCAATATGCTTGGCCAATGATAAGGACATGGCCTTCGGTTGTGGACACATGGTGAGACTAACTCTAATAGAATAATGAATGATTTAGAATCAGTACTTCATGTCAGTTCTACTAACTGTAATGAATCTGAATTTCTATTAGACTGTGTACGCACTTGAGCGCGCGTGTAAAATTAGGTCTGTTTTGGTGTTGCATTGTGATTATAATGAAGTGATAATGATACAGACTTGTAGAGATTGTGGGTCAAGAATGTCAAAGTGCCCAATATGCAGACAGAAGATCAAAAGCAGAGTCAGGTTATTTCACAGCTGATTTGTAGAGATTGTGGGTCAACAATGTCAAAGTGAACTTTGTGCAGAAGAACATCAAAGCAGAGTCAAGTTATTTCATAGCTGATTTAAATTCGCTTAAGACTTCATATATATTATAAACAGTGTGGCTTTCCTTTAACTTTGTGTACGACGTGTCTGTATCATTGTGTGTCACATGATTTATCATATTAGTTATCATGTGATTTCTATCACTCAGCAAACACAAGTCAGCAGCACGTCGACAAACTTCTGTACGGCTCAATGTGTATATTTTCTCATACTTTTTTGTTTGAGAGAATATATATATATACATACATATACACCCACATAATATTGTTGAAGTGGGTCTCATGACTAAGATCTTTTTGATTCTCATTCTATTATTGGAGAAGATTCTTATTAAATTTCATCCACTTATTCTTTCGGTCAATACGATAGTGGGCCTGAACTTGATAGGCCTATTGGTCCAATGGTGGATCAAATTTTCACAACTAGATATAAAATTCAATTTTTGACTTAACCTGATCTTCTGTAGATGGGATTGCTAGACTATTTAATTGATATTCATAATTACCACCACCTGTCTGCACTTTTGACGTTGGATTTAATGCTTTACTGAAATCATAATTATTCAGTCACTTTAAACCTAAACCTTCATCACGAATTGTTGTAGAATATCCATTAGTACTAGATTGAGCGTCTATTAGTGAATAAAAAATTATTCTAAAACGCTTCTGTAAACGTAATTCGTTGTTTTTATTACAAAGCAAAACTTAAAAAACCAAGTCAAAGAAACCAGCAAACGATTTTCCCCATAATTGATTATTGAATGCTAAACTTGGTTTTCTTTTAAGCTGCCTTGAGTAGCTTATCAATTACAATTTTAGTGTTACTTTCATTCATTTCTTGCCAGAAATATTACCTGCCCCAACATACCCCTTTGTGCACTTGCAGAGTTGTTGGCTTGCTTTTCTTCGTTAAACTTATTAAATAAAATATTACAATAAATACCAAGATCACGCCTCTTAAATATTATATTATAATACTCCCTGGAGTTAAATTATATAAATATTTTTGAATAAGATTTTACACACCAATAAATTTTCATTAAATAATCTAATAACCTTATTTTTAAAATAAAATATAAACTTTTAAAAATATCATTCATTAATATAACCTTAAATCTATATTTAATTATTAAATATATAGAGAGAGAGAATGTAGTATTAAAATACGCCTAGGAATGAAATGAAACCTTATTTTCTTATAGTATCTTATATTTTAAAAATTTAAATCTCTCTCAAAAGTATTTTATAATTTAGGACGGATGAAGTATTAATTACTAAAATTATAAATAATGTTTTATTTGAATATTATTTTTAAATATAGTTTTCATAATTAATCCTACATGTTAAATATCATATAAATTTATGTGAACTTAGATACAGTAATTTATTTTTTACATACATTAAATTATTAATATTACAGTATAATATAATTGAAATTTTTATAATTAATCAGGTATAATATATTATATAATTTAAAATATATATTTTACTTGTTAAATGAGTTGAATAAATTTAACATCATTGGATATAATTGTATCAATATTTAATTTTTAAAAATAATGTTTTTATAGTAATTTTTACATCTAAAATTGATTCTAACTATATCATTCAAACATTTTCAATTATGTCAAAATTAATTTGAAAAATAATATTCAAACATGATTATCTTATAAGATAATCAATTATAATTAAAGTCAATGTATATTAATCATTTTTTTTGAAATTAATTATATTCAATTGAAATTCAAATAGGCTGTAATTTTGAAAAATGGTGAAGTGAATTGCCTATATGAATGAACCATGTACAAACCCATGATTAATTACATTTATAATTTTTTTTTATTTTCAATTTCTTCTCTAAATGCTTTATATACATGCGTTTCCTTTTGTAGATATATATATATATATATATAGGAAATTTGATGTGTCAAAAATTATAGTGTGAGCAAGGTACTAAATATTAGGCTAATCATTGGTAAAGGCATTGGTTATGATCAAAACTGTAATGAAATTGTGATTAGTACCAGTCATAAATAAAACCTTTATTAAATCAGTCAAGATATTAATTTAATAATTTACTAGTTCAATTAGGTGGGTTGACACGGATTTTCCATGCTCTAAGTATGAGGTAAAATTAACAACTCAAAATGGCGAAAAAAAAAAATTAAATTTTGATGATTGCACACAAAGGTGCAGCACAAATGGACCATATGTTTCGTTTTTCTTTTTTGATCATCACCAATTTAGGAAACACTCCAAGTGGTTCCATATATAGGTCCATAGCCCATGTAAGGCGTTGGTCCTTCCTTCTCTATCACTTTTTCCGCGTCTAAAGGAAAGAATCAAAACTCAGAACTCACCAACATGGTCCAACTTGCCGGCATAGTGCTCCAGTCATAATAATTAATCCGAAAAAACAAAAGCTTTGGAAAACACATGCAACAGTACTTATCATCACTAACACTTGCCTTCTGGTTTTGCAGCCATTGTATAGCAGACGCAGCAGCGGAAGAAAACCCACATGATGAAAGCTTGTTCATCTCTGTAACATGTTCAAAAGCAGAATAACCATTTTGTCTTTTCTACTGCACAAACTAACATGCCAATGCCACCAAACACTTATCCATTTATATATTGACAACTTTCCGAATCTGATACTCTGATCTTCCATCATTTATATATATCTCCTCTCATTATATTGTTTACTCTTTTATTTTTCTTCTCTGTTTTTACTACATATATGCTTTCATGCATTGTTTGAGAACGTACGCTTTATTATTATCGTCCAAACAACTAATAAGATCGTGTGAAAGGTTGCCATGGCTTTAGAAACCATTCATCTAACACCTTCTCAGCATGATGGTCCCTTTCTCTTTCTCTGGGTTAAAAAATGAAAAGAATATGTAGAAGCCATGTGAATGACAAAATATGGTACAGAAATGCATGTAAAGTGGACCAGAATCACGCATATATCACAGTACCTAAGTGTCGCCTAAGAAGCGATCGATCCCATTTTTTCCCCACTAATCAATTCAAGTTTGACTCTCTGTTAGCGAGTGCTATATAAGTGGAATCATATCATGAAATATGATCTTAATATATCTGATCTGTTTTTATCAACTTGTTGGATAAGCAAAACTCTAAACACACTGTGAAAGAAAACTAGCTAGCTAATAGTACATAACATAACACTACTCACATCACTATAAATGAAACCAGAAAAGAAAAAGAACCAGACAGATATATAGCCGTAAGGATTGATGGCTAGCTAAATTAAAACTATAGAATAGCGAGTTTACTTTTTGAAGCAATAGCGTTTGTTTGTTACT